AGCCGAGTGGCGCTGTCCAGGCCGACGTGGAGCTGCGGGAAGCTGGCGTTGAGTGCCGGGAGCTGTGGCTCTCCGGCGGCGATGAGGGTCGTCGGCGCGCCCGGGAACACAGGCGTGCGCTCCTCACCCGGGCACACTTCGGTAGGCACCATCCTGGAACTCAGCAGCGCACACCCACCCACCCCGTGCCGCGCCCCCACACTCCTCCCTGCCCCAGGAGCTCCGTTTCTCTCGACCCCGCCGGCTTTGCCGTCTGGCATTTTTCATTCCCAGGATTCGACTGTGTGGCACCTGGCTTTCCCGGGGCAGAGCAGGGCCGGAGCCTGTGCAATTCAATTCCGCGTTAGCAGGAGGGAGCCCTCTCCGACAGGGAGAGGGAAACGGTTAGAGGGACATCTCTTCCAGTGGCCCGTGGCAAACACACATCTGAAGGCTCATAACCACCCGCCCGGGCTCCGGGGAGTCAGGCCGGCAGCAAGCCTCCCGCAGGAGCACGTTGAAGAGCAAGGCCACGGAATCTGAGACACTGGTTCGTAATGGAAACCACGGCTCAGCTCGAACCCTGGCAGCAACACCACGAGAGTGGGCCCAACCGTCACTTCCACAAGGGTTTTAACTGAAGCCACCCTGACTTACGCGTCACCGAGTGCCTTTTTCAGCCTGAGATGGTGTCCGAAATGTATTGCATTTTCGGGGCCCGGGGTGGGGGTCCTGTTATAACTGTGTCCTAGGAGAATAAAGTAGGCCCCTCACACATCGAGATCGGTGCTCACATTTCATTTCCATCTGATCAGACTTCAGGAAGTCTGTCACCCTATTTGACTGGCATCCGTAACCTCCGGTAGGCACCCAGAGCGGAAGACTCACGGCTGCTCTTGCTCCTTCCTGCAGCTTTGCTCTGATGGCTGCTGTTGTCGGAGGCTTTTCCCAGGTGAGTTCACAGGTCCCCTCGCCTCTCAGGGCCTCCAGGTGCCAGCCTTCCCCCTAACACAGTTCCCCAGTGTCCCACTACTGAGGGCCTTGGGACCCAACCATGATTTTTTTTTTTTTTTTTATCCTCACCCGAGGACATTTTTCCATTCTTTGTTCAGGTAGAGTGGGAGGGAGAGAGAGGAACAGAGAGAGAGAGAGAAACATCGATGTGAAAGGAACACATCGAGTGGCTGCCACCCGCACATCCGACCAGGGCCGGGGACAAACTGCAACCGAGGTACGCGCCCTTAGCGGGAACCGAACCCGGGTCTCTCAGGACCACAGGCCGATGCTCTAACCGCTGAGCCAAACCGGCCAGGGCCCAACCATGATTTTTTAAGAGCTTCCTGTGTGGCCTCCGTGGTCCCCCACAGCTACACCCACTTGTACACACACATCCACACCACACCACACACACACAGACTCCCTTACACACACACACACACACACACACACATTCCCAGCCCCACTGACAGGGATTCTCACCCCAGGGCTCCTCAGTGCTTGACCCCACCTCATTGATTCGGGTTTGGGGAGCCCCTCCTGGTCCTGGCTCGCTCAGGAAACTGCACAGAAGCCGTGACCCCTCTTCGGCCCTCACTAAAGAGAAACTCTTTCAGGTGAGAACTTCCATCCTCGCCTGGACCCCACCCGGAAGCCTGGCAGAGCGGCTGGCAGATTCGGGGCTCAGTGCACGTCTGCTGAATGGGGTCAAGGGCTCTGAGTCACTGCCTTCTCCATGCTGGCAGGGAGGTGCCCCTGCCTGGGACTTCCCTCACCAGGGACGTCCCGCCTCTCCATCCTTTGCAGTGGATTCCCTCTTCTGTACGAGGGGGACCCCCGCTGTAGGCAGGTCCCCTCTCCAGGCCTCCACAGCGTGCAGCAGAAGGACCAGGTATTTCCTGCAGCTTCTGCAAATTAGTTGCTCACCCTACAATGGGGTCTGGCTTTCTTAGTGACCCAAACACAGGGGCACACACACACACACACGCACGCACGCACGCACACCAGTCCTTTACTCCTGTCTCACCTTTGGCTAGATCTGCAGGGTCTAGGGACCTCCCTAGGATGTCACCAGGCAGGGTCAGGATGGGTGGGGTCGGGCTCTCCAGCCAGGAGCTGGAGGATCGGCAGCCTAGGGCTGCCCACTCTGGAGGCTGGTCTGTGAGCCACGCTCATATACACGCACTGGCGGGGCGAGTGGGCACAGGGTGACAGTGGCGAGTGCTGCTCGGAAGGAAGGGAAGGAACTGTCATTCAGTGCACCGTCGCACCAGATTCCAGTCAGTCACTTAGACAGTACGGTCAGCTTCTCACACAAGCAGCCAGGTTATTCTCACTTTTGAAAATCAGGGGGAGCAGTTTGCCACTTTCATAAAAACTGGTGGTTTTCCCTGGGGTCAAAGATTTTCATTGCTCTGTGTTTGGATGTTTGGAATTGAGACTGGAATTTTGTAACCAGATAATTGTCTTCGTCTCCCTTTCACCTGTCCCTCTGTCGTGGGGTGCACATGTCCTGTGGGGTTCATAATTCGCGAAGTCATTAGGAACACAGTGTCCTACCTAGTGCTCAGGAGGGGCGGCAACACAGTAAATTAGCTGACGAAGCTAAATTGGGCCGCGCTGTGATCCTCAGACGGATAAAGAACAGACAGATAAAGAACAAAAACAGTATAACAAGTTAGAAATGCAATAAGTTAATAAAAACATTCCCATGGAAAAATACGAGCTACAGCTGGAGGAGGAGGGACACAGGATGATGGAAATCCAGGAAACAGCGAGTCCATGAAATAGTGTGATTTGGCAAGCAGTCATGCCCAGGAGCGATTTATGGGCTGAGACTGGATGGGTGTGCAATGTGATATGACAGCTAAATAAGCAGAGGGAGTCCGGTCCTCACAGCCATCACTGCCCCGCTGCACATGGCCAGAGCGCCTGGCCCCACAGCCGTGCATCTGGGGACCATCCGCGGCCATTCAGTGGACACCCACTGTGGGTCAGGCACTGAGCACACAGTCCTGTCACCCTCCCGAGACTCCGAGGCAGGTACGATCACTCTGCAGAAAGGTGACGCTCAGATGGATCACAGAGCTGGAAAGAGGCAAGCTGAAATTTAACCTCATGCCCATCCGATTCCCAAATCTCTCCGCTACACTTTATAAGTGGCCACCACTCAGGCAGCGAAGAGGCGAGTGACAAGGGAGGACCTCACTGTCCAGGGCTGACAGGAGCACTCCGGTGACCTCTGGCTGTGGTTAGTGCAAGGTGCAGAGAGAAGGGAGACAGTTGACCTGTCTCTCAACACCTGTGTGACTGTAAGAAGCAGTTCGCCTCTCTGTGCCTTGGTTTCTTCAACCACAAAGTGGAGCGATCTCATCCATGCTGGCATGTGACAAGTACGCGAATAAGATTGTCAGCCTTGGTGAACCGCACGGCACAGGAACCTCATGAGAACCTCACCAGCGTTGTAAGCCAACCTGTGGCCTGCCGGCACTTGAGCTGTTTCGCTTCTACGTATTCCTCACCCCCAGCCGCTTCGACCTCCTGCATTTGAAATGTGTGTGACGTTACGCCAGCTTAGAAAGAGGGTGACTGTCACCAGGAGCAAACGCTCCGTCTGCCACGAAGGGCTCCGTGTGTCCACCTGGCTATGGCCTCCTCCGTTAAGTTCGTTGTCTCACAGGGAAGCACCTGCAGTCTAAGAAATGCTCGTTCTGACGGGAAGACACGTTTCGGGGAGTGATGGTTCCGGAACCCAGCCCGAATGAAGAGCGGCTGGAGGAAGTGCAGATTTACAAGACGGGTAAGAGGAACGTGAGTGGCATCTTCAAACGTTTGACTGAATGGACCGGTGGGGATGCACACACTCTAAGCTGTGCCGGAGGGCGGAGCCAGAAGAAAGGAATGACGGGTGGTAGCGGGGCGCCAGACGGTCAGAGAGGACCGCCTCTGGGCTTAAGGGCTTTGCCAGAAAAATTAGATGATTACATTAGATGCTGTGTTCCAACAATTCTGACAGCAGTTGGGTACCCTACAATTCCATTCAATGCTGACACTACCCCGAGTTAAGAGCAAGCAGCCTTGCATGTTAAGGGGCTCAGTTCTGCTGCTCAGTTCAGGTGGCAGCCACCAGTCCAGGATCCCCAGCCCGCCTGCACGTGTACTGGACGTGGCCACAATGTGAGGTTCTCACTACTCCCTCCAGGTTCAATAGTTCACTGGAAGGAGTCTCGGAACTCTGTAAGCTGCTGTCCTTATGATTACAGTTTCCTTATAAAGGATACAACTCAGAAAGAGCCACGTGGAAGAGATGCAACAGAGGAGGGGCACAGAGCACCCTAGTTCCTTTCGGGCGAACCCTCCCAGCAGACTAATGTGTCTGTTAGTCCAGAAACTCCCCGGCCCTGTGGTCCCAGGGTGTTATGCGGGGCTTCCCTGTGTGGGCCTGGGTGATGAAACCAGTGGCTGCCGATTGAACTCAACCGTACGGGTCAGAGCAAGGGCTGAAACTTCTAACCGTCTCATCCGGGGCTTGGTCCCTCCCGTGACCAGCCTCCATCCTGACGCTATCGAGTCCCTCCCCTGCCCCCAGCCATCCATTAGCATAAACTCAGGTGTGGGAGAGAGGGCTCCTTGCATAACAGCAGAAAACACTCCTGTCACTCAGGAGACCCCAAGGGTTTTAGGAGCCTGTGCTAGGAACCTAGGATGAGGCCCAAATATGTTTCGTATTATACCACAGACACACTTTGTCGTCCCTTCTGTCGCAACCGTGCTACATCTAGTGTTTCTAAAACTGGTTATGCGGTACAGGTCAGCCCCGAGTAAGACAACGAGTTCATACCTAGAGCTCTTTGGCAATGTCGTGGGCTTCCCTCCTGGGTCCCAGCTCCCTAGAACGGGAAGTGATGCCCGTGGACGACCCGAGGCTGAGAGGGAGTCCCCCGCCGAGTGGTGGTTTGGTGCAGGGGCTCCCTGGCCACGGCCGTTGGGGCACAGCGGAACCTAACTGCCCTGCTTGGTTTCAGAGGCGAGATCTGCTTCCGTTCTGGATGAACAGCACTGGCAAGAGGGAAGGCTGGCAGCGTGGATGGCACGGGTATGACAATGAGCTCATGGACATGAGGGGCATCTTCCTGGCCTTTGGACCCGGTAGGTGGGGAAATGACAAAATTCTCGTAGTCATCCGTTCCCAAGGATGTGTCCCCAGGGGCCCGTGGCGAGCGTCAAGGCTGGCGTGATTTCTTTATGAGCCAAGCTGAGCAAACCCAGCCGGTCTCCATGAAACGTCTTTCGCTGGCTCGCTTTCAAATGCTTCTTGGGTTTGGCAAAGGTGGCCACATAGTTTTCCTTGTAAATTCTAAATCTCGAGTGCAGTGAAGAAAATGCATTCCACATGTTTGTGATTCATTTTTTACTTAATTCATCACAGTGTGATTTCACAGCTATCTGATGTCCAGGAAAGCGTAACAGACACCAGGTTGCAGACAGCTCTGAGTTTCAACACCGGTGTGGCTGTTTCACAGGGTCGGAATCTTCCACAGTTCTTCCTCATCCAGAGCAGCCGCCCCTGTGGGGCTCCTTCGGTTTAGGGCCAACCAGGAGCTGGGATGCGCCCAAGGGCGGGCTAGGAAATGACCTGGATACTGACTTTGGGCATCAACTAGAATGATGAGGAATGTCCTGGATGAAAGCAAATGTACTGTGCCTCCCTCGACCAGATAAATTCCCAGGGCTGGCAGAGAACAGGGGTGAAGAGGGCCTGTTTGGTCATTTGCTTTAACTACTGAGAGCACCACCAATTCACGTTCTGGAAGAGTTTATCAAACACTGCGAAGATCATACTACTACCCCAACGCCGCCTTTCAAAAAACAGTTAGGACAAAGAGCATTAGACTAGCCATTATCCCTCAGTTGACCGGCTCACGAGCTACTCTTCTTTCTTACAGCTGTCCACCCTCCTGGTTGAATATAATCAGCTGACCCTGATCCGCATTCCAAATGCCCTTTTCTGGATGTTGATCCAAGTGCTTCTGCCCATGAACTCCATGCTTTCCTTTCAAATGATACATTGGAGATTTCCCCTAGAAGCCCTGCTCTTCACCATGTAGCAAAACAAAGAGAGACATCATGCCACCTGCCTTGGGTCATCCACTTACCACAGAACTGTGGCTGAGAACCAGGGGTGTGCGTCTCGGCACCCTCCCAGGGGCCCTCCGGCTAGCTGAGCTGAGGGAACACAGGGGTCCAGATCCTTTCCCACTTGTGATTCAAGTTCCCCGTCCCGAAGGAAGCATCAGAAACAGTAGCAGCCGACAAATGTCTGCTGCGTTCAGGACATGGGCTAAGGGGGTGCAGAGGGTGTCCAGCATGTTGCCATCAGCCAATAATAGCTATCAGGTGCTCCCTGTCAGCCGCGCCCCTGTCAGACCGGTGCAGCTCACCGCTCAGTGAATGAGTGATGAAGCCCCGCGGACTTCGTGGAGGTCAACTGCTAGATTAGGTTGGAGACACTCCAGGGCCACGGCCTTTATACGGCAAAGCACCAGACAGACGGGCTTTCGTTCAAAAGCATCACCTCCTCCTTCCCTGGGGAGAAAAAAGAAAGATCATAAATGCAAAACAGTGGTCAGTTGAAGGAGTGTTTATGAACAAGTCACAGGCATATTTTAAAGCAGCAGCAAACAAAAAAAAATGTTAAACAAAATACCCGAAGCTGCATTCGCTTGGAGTTGAACTCGGTGGGGAGAGCTCGTCCATTAGCAAGCCTCCTTTAAAAGTAAAAGCCGGGGTCTTTTATAGACGGAAAGACGACCCCTGATGAAAATGGACTGGGCTAATTGCAGAAATGCTTCCAGGAAGACGCAGCCTGGAGAGTCCCCCGCCGACCATCCCGTCTCCGGCTCCAAGGCTCATGAAAGATTGAACAGCTTTACACGCTGGCTGTTTACTCAGAAGGAAATGTAAGAGCAAGGCCGTGAAGAGCTATCAGCTGCACTTCGAGATAAAGGAACGTCCCTCCTGATTAATTGCATGTGCCTCTCACATGGGGAGGAGGCTTGGCATCGTGGTGGCGGCCCACATATAGTTCTAGAAGTCAGGGAGTCTGGTCCAGCTAAGGGAAAGGAAGACAGTTCTGGAAGCCTGCCTCTGTCTGGCTAATCCCAGTTTCTGACTGGAACAATCTGGCCCCGGAGAAATCCATGTTCCTGGGAAGACAGCAGGGCCGTGATTCAGCGAGCCAGAGAGCCCCTCGGGGAGCAGCCCAGGACGGCGGGCACCCCTGGGGCCTGCACACCTCCTCCCTTTGAGAGAAACAGTGTATATAGCCACACAATTTGCACCCACGGGAATAGCTCAGTGTCCCAATCCAGGTTCGAAATGCCACCCAGAGCTAGCAGAGCTTGGGTCCTCCCACATTGGATTAGGTATTGGTTTGCTCCTCAGGAATTGTCTAGAAGCTCTCATTCCAGCCCAAATCACGTCTGCATTTGGCCCAAAGTCCCAGCCCTGCAGAAGAGGACGCCCTCAGAGGAGGGGGAGGAGGGGTGAGATAAGCCAAAGAACTTACATGCGTAACCAATGGACATAGACAACAGTGCCGGGTGAGGGGCGGGATCGGGAGGAGGGTGTCTTCCGGACCAAAGGAGAAGCATCTATAACAAAAATAACTAATAAAAAAAATAAAAATATAAAACAAATCAGATCGAATGGGAAAGAAAACCCAATTCTCCTTCCTGCTTGCGTGCACAGGATTTGATTTGGTGCTTTGCACGTAGAAGAATGGTCCTTCTCCAACACGTCTGTCTACAGAGCTCATCTCAATGTGTTTGCCAAGGGTTAAAGAAGTGGGTGTTTGAAAGGTCCCCTGTGGACTCACTGCTGCCTGCCCCCTCCCACCCTCTGCCACCCACACACATGACAAGGACATGCCACCCCATGACATCACACTCAAGGTCGTGGCAAGTCAGAAGGAGGGAGAGGACCGGCTTTCCCATCGCGGGGCAGCCTTCCCGTGGACCCGTCCGGCTGCCGCGCAGTCCTCTCGGGAAGCACCGCCACCATCTCGTCTACGTGTATAGTTTCCGTGATGTTAGGAAGGGACGGCATCCTGGGGCAGCCTCGACGCTCTCCTCTCCTGGGAGCTCCTGGGTTTTTTTAAAAACCATTTTTACCCTGAGGTGATGCTGATCTTCATTCTCCCTGCCCCAGAAGTAAAGTGAGCTCGCCAGAGAATTTAAGCATTTTCAATCCATCACTTGCCCTTGCTGGGCATTTATTCTCCATGTCTATTAATAATACTAGCTACCACCTGGCCGGTGTGGCTCAGTGGCTGAGCATCGACCCATGCACCAAGAGGTCAATGGTTGGATTCCTGGTCAGGGCACAGGCCCAGGTTGTGGGCCAGATTCCCAGTGGGGGCATGCAGGAGGCGGCCAGTCAATGTTCTTTCTCATCAATGTTTCTACCTCTTTCTTCTTCACCCTTCTTCTCTCTCTGAAATCAATAAAGAAAAATATTTTTAAAAAGTAATAATATGTGACCATTTATTGAGCACATACTACGTGCCTGCAGCTATGACGAGGTACCATTTCCCTGCCCATTTCCTGAGGTTACCCAGCGGGTACGTGGCTGCAGGCTGGTCGCACAGCCCATGCTTGCCCTGGACCCTACGTGCTCTGGGGCAGAGTTTTCTGTATGTACTTGTCTGGCATATTTGTCGTTTTGGGGGAGACAAAAGAGCAGAATGTAATGTTAGCACTTTCGGGTGATGCTGCTGTTGTTTCTGTTTGCTTTGTAAATAAAGCCTGCGTGGCCATTCTAGCAAAGCAGCTGTAAAGGTTACAGCCCCCAAACTCCCCATTTCCTTAAAAACCCTTCGATGACTGGACGGCCATGCAGAGGCCTTACTGATAAAATCTCCCTTCTCAATTCAGCCCCAGTGTGGCTTTGGGTATTTTGTTGAAAGTTCTGGTTTGAGGCTTCAAAGACAAACTGCTTGTGGACATTATTACCAAACTCTTCCACTGGCTCTTAAATGGACAAACACCTTGCAGCCAGCATCGTGCTCGCCTCCCTCGGGGAAGGAGAAGGCGCACTCCTGGTTGAAATCCCTCCTTCGGTGCCCTGATTACGGTGCTGTGAACAGCCAGTCCTGCCCTTCACACCTGTGTCCCCGCTGGAGGTCGGGCAGCCCTGGGTTCCTGGAAGCACAACTCTCCTCCATTAGATCTCCCAGAACCTCCCGGCTCTGTAACCCCAATGCCAGTTTGACTGTTCCCCACGTGGCCGTGTTCTCTCACCTGCTAGTGAAAGGCTCCCAGAGAAGGTTCAGATGATCTTCCCAATGTGTTCAGGGAGACATCACTTGGCTCTGAGCTCCCAGCTCCAGGGAGACGGCGGTTCTCATCCCATCCAGCCCTGGGACCTCCATGTGGCAGGAAAATGAAGCAACATTGAGTCACTGTGGGGTCTCTGCAGTCGAAATGGGCAACCAGTCCCTGCGAGATAAGTGTTCTGAAAGACAACAATACCCTTTAACTGGGATTTGGAGAGTCCACGAAGACATCAAAGGTCTGTGAGCACACCTGCCCTCCTGTGCTCTGCAGAAACCAGCCTGCAGGTGGCCCCCTGCACCCCAGGAAGCACAAGCTCCATTACTACAAGGAGCACAGCTATGCCAAGGTCAGCCTGTGTGCTGATCTGTCTCTTTTTGTAACATAGATTATTTTATTGATTGTTCTTTTTAAGACAGAGGTAAGGAGAGAGAAATAGAAACATTGATGAGAGAGAAGCGACAACATCATTGGCCGCCTTCTGCACGCCCCCTACTGGGGATCAAGCCCACAACCTGGGCATGTGCCGGAACCAGTGACCTCTTGGTGCATGGGTTGATGCTCAACCACTGAGCCACACCGGCCGGGTTGATTTGTTTTAAAGGAACTAATTCTCATGAGCCATGGGGAGTTACTTCCCTTCACAGCCAGTAGCCCTCCACATACTCTGCCAAGTTCACCACCATTTGGCCACGTCCCATTGACAGAGCTGATTTTCTGGTCCCAAAGCCACGTGGAGCCTGGGCATAATTCCTCAACATTGGGACTCACCCCTCTCTGCCCGGTGACTGTGACAACTTGTTTGCTTGCCTTTCCCTTTCAGATTTCAAATCCAACTTCAGAGCGGCTCCAATCCGATCCGTGGACGTCTACAACGTCATGTGCTGCGTGGCTGGCATCGCCCCGCTGCCCAATAACGGGTCCTGGTCCAGGGTGATGTGCATGCTGAAGGGCCCGGCCAGCTCGGCCCCGGCGGTCCCGCCTCGCAGTCTGGCACTGGCGTTGACACTCCTCCTGCTGCTTCAGTAGCTGCTCCTCTGTCCCAAACACAGCCGAGTGGGCCTCCAGGGGGAAAGGTTTCGTTTTCTATTTGAATAATAGCTTCATTAACACGACCAAGGCCACACAAATTGTAAATATATTATTCTTGGATAATTCTATAAAATTCCCTACTTCTTAAAAAAAAAATCTGAACTTTATTTTTTCTGAGGGTCAGGAAAATCTTGCTCTTAATGTGTTCGACTGTATGTCATTTTCTCCTTTCTTTTCATGTAGCAACTCAGACGAACTGTCTGTAGCCAACAGACTTTGACAGTCCTGGGCCACATTCTGCACAGAGCAGCCCCTCAGCTGTGCCCTGTGCACACCCAGGAGCCACCTCAGGACTTGTGGTCACAGTCCCACACTGCGCCTCCCATCCCAGAAAGAGGAGGTTCCACATGACAGCTGTAGCTGCCATCTGTCTCTGACCCAGCTCATGGAGTTTTTCCATCTTCTACAGAGACCCAGAAAGGGTGTATCTTAGCTTGGGTCACCCATCAATCAAAATCACTAAGGATTCGAGAACTCAGAATAAGGTGACAGGCATGAGCTCCCTCCCAACGTGGGGATGCACAAAAGTGTCCCGCTGGCCTTGACGAGCAGAACAGCTGACCATAGACCCGGGCTTCTGTGTGACATGTCCCAGGGCCTCATGGTTGGAAGTTTTGCCCATAGCAGGGTGAGCTGATGGACGGCCTGCGCCTGCCCATCTGCCTGCCGGCTTGCTCAGAGACGACCACTCCTTGGACCGCCGCACACAACGTAGACTATAGCAACAGCTGACATACATTACAGCTGGGAGGCCTGGCTGATGAGCGTGTGGACGCAGTTGCAGAAGTCTCAGCTCACTGCCTGGAGGGTGATGTAGAAAGCATACGTTGTATGCGTTGGTGTCCTGGAGACAGGCTGTTACGGACGACAGCAAAGCGGATCCTTGAGTGACCCTGAAGCCCAAGGAAAATGAGGACAGGGTAGAGAGAACGTGATGGAGTCAAATCCCCATCACTAACCAACAAGCCGTTGGAGGAGGAAAGTGCCACCCCGAGAGACTCGAGTTCTGTAGAGCCCCGAGATGAGCCGTTGAGCCTGGTGGAAATGTTCCCAGTTAATTCTCTGAGTTGGGTGTCGGAGATCTTGTAAAAACAAGGGCAACTACAGTTATGAGTGATTGGTGTCATCTGCACGCATCATTGCGTTAAAAACGACTTTGCACTAAATGAGGCAGCTCTGCCAGTGGGACTTTTTGTCAGGAAAATAGCGGCTCAGGTCTCCTCGGGACGATGAAGCCCTTGCAGGATGTTCCCCTTGAAAATCGGACACCAGCGCTCACCCTGAGGCAGGAGGGCTGGGAGCCGTGTCTGTACCTTGAATCACGGGAGCAGAGGATCCCTGGTTTAAAAGGTTGCATTCGTCTTCACAAAAGATTTCTAAGGGTTTATGTAACACACTTTTAAACTGCAGCATGGAATCCAATAGAAGGAAGGCAGACCAGCCTTTGTTACCCGGCTGAAAGCAAATGCGTGCTCTGGACGCTGGCAGTGGTGGCCGACATGGTTGGTCAAAGCTTCCTTCCTCCTGCCCTGGCCAGTCTGGCTGAGCAGTTAGAGCGTCGGCCTGCGGTCTGGAGAGATCCGGGTTCGGTTCCCGCTAAGGGCACGTACCTTGGTTGCAGTTTGTCCCCGGCCCTGGTTGGTCGTGCGGGTGGCAGCCACTCGATGTGTCCCTTCACATCGATGTTTCTCTCTCTCTCTCTGTTCCTCTCTCTCCCTCCCACTCTATCTGTACAAAAAATGGAAAAATATCCTCGAGTGAGGATAAAAAAAAAAAAAAAAAAAAGCTTCCTTCCTCCTTGGAGGACGGTGCTCTGTGAACGCGCGGAGCCCACCTTCCTCCCTTGTGAGGGAAGGCTCCCGAAAAGACAGCCGTGCGATTAAGTTACAGGTGGATCATGCAAACGGGGAGGGGTGTAAGCTGGTATACCTGCCACCTTGCATTTGTCTTTCCTGCTCTGGTCGACTGTTCTTTCCCCTCACTCATTCCTAAAACCTTCAAGTTACAAAATAAAATTTCACACAGAGGTCTGACAAAGTGTAGGTACACAATAAATACTCTTGAATCACTGGATTAGAATAAGATACTTTGAGAATCATGACTATTGGTAACTAATTAAGAAAATTCAGCCACTAAATGGAGAAAAAAACTTTTTTTTTTTTTTTGCCTAAAATAATGCATATGTTTTAGTGGCTTAATTCTTTGGCTAAAGGTTTTTTTTTTTTCCTCCTTGGTTTTTGTTTTAAAGTTACATTTTTTTCCCCCAGGAAAATTCTACTTTCTCTAAATGGTTTTGTTCCACAGGAGTAAACTGAGGAATACACACAGACACCTTTCTCCTGGGTTATTTTACTGCTGCATTGCTAACTCCAGGAGGACGGTAATTAGATTGACCTGCAAATACCAAAGCTAATGGAACGGAATGGTCCTTAAATCCGGGATGAGATGAATGGCCACTTTCGCTGCCTCAAGGCGTAATCTCCAGAACCAACCCAGTTAACTTTGGAAGACCAGCATCAATTAGAACACGCCCGGAGAATTCTTTCCTGCCTCAGAGTCCTGCATGATGAAGTTTCAACTCTCTTAAAACAATCCTGGAAATCCGTATCAGATCTGAGTTCAATCCCAGACACCAGGGTGTGCAAATGTCCTGGGACGGGAAGCATCTTCTGACCCACTTCAGAGACACAGGTTGAGAGGATCTGGGTGGGGCCGCAGGCAACACTTTTAAATCACGCTGATGGAAGGTTTGGATTTGCTCTAAGGAGACATGCGTTCTGAAATGACCCTGCTAGACCTGAGTCTCCTGACAGTAATTTCCTAAGCCACCAGTTCCTCCTGGGGCCATTAGGCTGGCAGCGGCTGCTGATCCCAGCTGGGACAAGCCTCCAGCCCTCCTTACACCAAAGCCGATCTGTACCCCTAGTGACGGAGAGAGGAGCCAAAAAGGCACCCTGGGCTTCCCCGTTCCCCGCTCCTTCTTGGTCTAAGTTTCCCAGAGGTGCGATCAGACAAACCCGTTGTTCAAGACACACAGCTATTTTATGCATTTCCTAATTGGTTTGCATTTCTGTAAATATCAAGGGATTTCCAAGTGTGATTGTCTACTCTTTTTAAGCAATTTGTGATAGACCGAAGTCAGCACGCATAAACTTTTGAGAAGGAAGGAAGGGCACAGCCTTCCTTGGCAGCCTGGTTATAAACATGGGAAACCTGGTCTCGGGTACATGCGATGGAAATGCATTTCTATGTTGCTTTGAAATCACAAAATAGCACCGAATACAGTGCCTCAAATGTTTAATAGATGTCCCATAAATACGTGTTGAATAAAAAAAGAATAAGTGTCATTAAAAAGACTTGCTTACACTTCAGATATTCTCTCTCCGTCTGTAGTTCCTCAAACTAAATAAACGTTTCACTTTTGGCTTGCTACCTTTTCCTATCACCCGACTGATAATTATACTGCATTCCATAAACAAGACATATTCCATCCCAGGCTTATATGTGTGACAGAAAGAAGGAAGGGAGGGAGGGAGGGAGGGAGTTAGCTTTTAAATACACTGAGCATATTTACTTTTTTTAAATGTAACAGCTCTATCAAGATTTAATTCACACACCAGACAATTCTCCCAGTTGGAACGTTCATAGAATTATGCAACCATCACCACAATCTGATTTAGAACATTTTCATCACCCCAGAAAGAAACTCCGCATCCATCATTCCGTTAGCTGTCACTTCCGTTCCCCCCACCGCTACCCCGAAACCACTCAGCTCCACTCTGTTCTGTCTACAGATTTGCCTATTCGGGATGTTTCATAAAGAAGGAACCACGCGGCCTTTTGTGGCTGGCGTTTTTCACACAGCATAATGTTTTCAAGGTTTTACCATGAGTCACTATTCTTTTTATTTTCAAATAATATTCCATGGCACAGATATCCTACACGGTAGTTATCTGTTCGTTCGTTGATGGACATTTGTTTTTCCCCATCCTTTTGGATGAGTACTGCTGCTCCGAATATTCATGTGAGTTTTCGTGGACACATGTTTTCATTTCTCTTGGGAATATTACCTGGAGCAGCATTGCTGGGCCTTGTGGGAAACTTTTGAGGGACTGTCAGTTTTCCAACTGGCTGCGTCATTTCGGATTTTTACCAGCAGGCTTCCAGATTTTCCACATCCTCACCAACACTTGTGATTTTTTTCTAATTTCAGCTACCCTGCTGGGTGTGATGTGATATCTCACTGTGGTTTTCATTTGCATTTCCCTCATGACCAATGTTCTTGAACATCTTTTCATGTGTCTACTGGCCATTTGTTTATCTTTGCTGGAGAAATGTCTACTCAAGTCCTTTGTCTATTTTTTTTTTTTTTTTACTTGAATGTTGGTCTTTTGATTATTGCATTGTAACAATTCTTCATATATTGTGCATACAAGTCCCTCTTCAGGTACCTGATTTGCAAATGCCTGGAAGGGCTCTGCGGCCGACAGGAAGGGAAGCAAATGGTGTGTCACGTTGGAAGGCACGAAGCTGAGCTCCGGGGTTTGAGAGTTAGTTTCCTGAATGCGGGATGCCTGCTGGGGGGTTTCTCTCTGAGCCGCCCCTGGGCCAGGACAAGCGCTGAGGAGCATCGCTGTGGTGGTTCCACTGGTCACCAAGGTGAATCAGGACTCAGCATGGCCTGATCCGCAGTGAGGCCGCATGGGACCACCTGTCATCTGGTCCACGTGGCTCTCTGGCCCGTGGCCTCCTGCAGCCCCCCGCCCCCCACAGCTGCCCTGGCCTCCCTGCTGTGCACAGGGCACTCCAAATTGGGGTTCACATTTTTTGCCAGAAGCCCTCATAAAGAAGGCATAATTCTGTGAAATAGCATTCTCCCAATTATGAGTCTTAGTTTAACTCTAAGAAAAGAATGATTCACTTTCTTTCCTCTTAAAAACGTTCTGCATGTCACTGCCAACAATACGTGTTATTTGATCAGGTCAGAGCCCAGGTCTGGCTTATTCACCTGTGTGCATCCAGGTCCCAGAACGGAGCTGGGCACATGCCAGGCCCCCAGACATTTAAAACATGCATGAGTCTTATTTTTCTTAAGAGCACGCTGACTGTAATCCAAGTATGGAAGTGATGGAGCTGTCTCAGGGACAACCTGCCCATGTGGAATGAGTCCTCCAGAGAAGGCTCGGACTGGGAGAGACAGGAGAATAGCACATACCACACCCTTTGTTATGGGTTGAACTGTCCCCCAAGATAGATATGGCCAAGTCCTATTCCCTGGTCCCTATGAATGTGGCCTGGTTTGGAAATAGAGTTTTGCAGATGTAATCAAGTTAAGACGAGGTCATTCTCTATTAGGGTAGACCATACTCCGATGACTGATGTTATAAGGAGAAGGAGCTTGGACCCAGAAACACAGAAACGAAGGCCACATGGTGATGGAGGCAGAGATTCGAGAGATGCATCTATAAGCCAAAGGACACCAAGGATGGCTGAAACCACCTGAGGCTGGAAGACACAAGGACCCTCCCTAGAGCCTGCAGAGGGAGCATGGCCCTGCCAACGCTTGATTTCAGAATTCTAGCTTCCAGAACG